CATACGCAGAGAAGTGCAGATCTGAGTACCCCCCCACATAACACAGAGCAATTTCCACACGTGTAGAGCAGAGCACTGAAGCTGAGGCCAGTAACACAGATGAGAGTCCATGCAAGCTGGATTTTGGTCATTCTAGTACATTGGGGCAGGACCTCGCTAAATCAGCAGCTGCCAGGGATCAGTCAAAAGGAATGGAGAGCCCAACCTGGGGCAGCTTGTCAGGGGCAGGCAGGCAGATCCTGTGTCTGGACTCCTCTTGGATTATATTCCCATTCCAGAAGCCAGAGGCAGCCCCTTTGGCAGGCTCCTGCGGTGACTTTTCCAAGGGCCTCCCTCACCCAGGAGTAGCCAAGCTGCTTGAGACTGGAGCTACCCGGTCCTATCTGGTCACTAACCAGCCTGCGTCTGTCTGGGTGGCCTGCTGGTAATGAGGAGGAGGGGCTGCTCAATTCCACCCCTTTCCTGTCCCTCGGTCCCTGTCGGTCCCTTGGCTGCTGCGGCTGGAAATGCGGCAGGGCCGCCCTGTCCCTGTCAGTCACTGTTTGTATGCCCCCCTGCTGTTGCTAACAAGGAGAAGTGGTTGCCCTTCTCCACCCCCATCCTTTCCCCGGGGAAGTGAAACAGCTATAAATTAATGCAAACCCTTTGGAGCGCAGGGAAAGCCTCACATTGTTCATTCCTCAGCACGCTTTCATTTCAGCACTGACTTGTTCTTCTGGGGGTTCCCTGTGGAAGATTTATATTTAAACAGTTAAAAGTCTACTGTAAATTTCTGCAGAGGAATTTTTTTTTTTTTTGGACCAAGCTTCTTTTTAAAAGCTTTCGTAAGATTTATTCCTGTTGGGCCTGATCCTATCAGTGCTGCCCTAGACACTGTAAGAGCTATGATGCTGGAGATACAAAGGGGTCTCCCCCTGGTTGTTGCGGGGGAGATGTCATTTGACCAAGGTGATATCAAGAAAACCTTTCACTAAATGCCCTGAGAGAGACCTTTCCTCAGGTTCAATTGGAGATGAGGGGGATTTGTTTGTTCTTCTATTTTCTATTTTAATTTCTCACACCAGTTTTCTCTTGGCTCCTGCAACATGCTATACCCTTTACAGTGGGAAACGTACCTGCATTGGGTTTTGCATTTGAAGTAACTTGAAGGCATCCTGCAGTTTGAACCCTAGTAAAGGGAGCAAAGATTAAAAGAATAATCCTTTTTGGAAAAGAGAGAGAGAGAGAGAGAGAGAGAGAGAGAGAAATTGTTTTATTTAATAAATGTACGGGGCAAAGAAGAGGCTGCAGTTTATGGGCACTGCTCCCCTCTAGTGGATAAAAATTGGAACTACTCAGCTTTGTGCCATAGATTCGTTACTGCTACCAGCAAGTAGAGATTTTCCTATCACTCTAGTGGCGGGGAATTGTGCATTTGGAGCAAAATATCTGAATTTACACCCTGCTATTGCTGTGAAGGTCTCAGCAGCCATTGTGAACAATATAGTGACAATGATGATGCCTTTGTGGGCCATAGATGGGTTAAAAATCATTGGAAGAAACACTTAGGCAGCTAAATTCAGCCCTTCACTAAGAAGGTGCAAATACACATTAAGGACTATAAGACAGGCCATAACACTTCTAAATTATTTTGAAATTTAATGGAAGGCAGATATAATGGTGCTCATAATTCATTACTATTACTTTTGTTTCTAGACTATCACAAGTTACATTTCATCTGATTTATGTGAGCACCCTTTCCTTATGCAAGTGTTGTAACAGATTTTTCATAACCATTTTTTACCTTACATATATTTTAATATTTTTAAATTTAAAAGGAAATACTCTCAACTTTAAGCTTCAATGGAAGTATTATTTTATCATTTAGTAACTGATCATAAAATTAGAACACTTTAACCCCATGCAAGCCAAGAGAAAGGTGAACGCCTCTGTATATTTTCACAACTATAACTGTTGGGAATAACTTGATATTCTAAGTTGATTTTATGGAGAGTCATGGTTGTAAAAATCGCATGTTTTGAGGACGCCACATTTTTATATGACAATTGGCAAAACAGCAGGGGTAAAATGCAGATTGGTCTCTGAAGTGCCTGATACCTTAAACTTTGACAAGCTTAAACCTGGGTACCAGGGCTCAGGAGGTTAATTCAGAGAAATAGTGTCAAATACCTGTGCACAGTATCCAGGCAGTAGGGAAAGTTAGAAGCAGCCTAAAGGCAACCCATGGAACCCCACATGCTGAGCGTGGAGCCAACTAGAACTAACGAATAAGAAATGTCGAGCACATACTTGTGTCTGAACTCCTGCCCCTCTCTATGTGCCTCCATGTACTCAGTATCCAGAGCCTGGAGTCCTCTTCAGCACCTAACAAAGGAGGGGGAGGATATGCTTACTTACCTTTTACATATACCCTAGTGGTTAGAGCACTTCTCCAGTAAATCATTGATCCCATTTCTAGGCCCTTTTCAATTTGAAAGGATTCAAAGCTGCATCTCCCACCTCCCAACAGAGTTGCCAAGTTATACAGTAGTCTAGCTTGGGGCACCCCTGAGCTCTCCTGTTGAGGTTTGGTTGTATAGTCAAGAATGAAATAGTCATGGGACCTGAAGGAGAACAAGTAAGAAGGAGCCTGACTCTGTAGCCTAGTGGTTCGCACTCCCCTGGCCAGGGGGAATCCTGAGTCCTGCTCCCCAGATTATCTCTATTTTTGTCCATTGACTGTCTAATCCAATGTAATGTAATGTAAAATGCAAAAATCTTGCTGGCCCAAATGAGAGCATCTTCTCTTTTTATATGCTAACAGTCAACTTAGTCTACTTTGATTTTGGGGCAGGGTTTTTTTTCTATGGGTTTCTTTGAGAAATGCTTAGCATACCTGGAGTCACTGTACCTCCCAATAAATAATTTTAGAAAATCTTACTTTTAATATTTTAAAATAGAGATTGGGGTAGAATTAGGAATGGGTTTGAGGGAGGAATTTGAAAGATGATGCTTGGGATACATACAGGGATGACTTTCTCAGAGTAAGGGGTAGCCTGAAAAGGGATAAAGGTTAAAAGAATGGACAAAGTCTGGAGAAGACTGAGAGAGGATTTAATAGCAGCCTTCAACTACCTGAAGCATGGTTTCAGAGAGGATGGAGCCTGGCGGTTCTCAGCGGTGGCAGATGACAGAATAAGGAGCAATGGTCTCAAGTTGCAGCAAGGGAAGTTTTGGTTAGATATTAGGAAAAACTTAATCACAAGGAAGGTAGCAAAGGACTGGAACATGTTACCCAGAGAGATTGTGGAGTCTACATCCTTGGAGGTTTTTACAACCTGGGTTGACAAAGCCTTGGCTGGGATGATCTAATTGGGGCTGGTCCTGCATTGAGCAGGGGGTTGGACTAGATGACCTCCTGAGATCCCTTCCAACCCTAATTTTCTATGATTCTATGATCCTGCCCCGTCTGAGCTAGGAGAGGAACAGCTTAGCCAGAGCTCCATAGTGAGATCCCAGATTATGGGGCTAAAGTAGGAGAAAGACCTTACTTTACCCCCATAATCAAGACCTTTCATCTTTGGCTTTCTCAGCCCAGCTCTTCTCCTGATGCCTGCAAAGCACCAAATATTGCCACCAGCCCAAAGGTGACACACGGGTCAGATAGCAATCTCCCAGAAAAACAAAAGGAACACATCAGATGATAAATTGAATGAAATGGTTAGGCAATAAGTTGAAAGATGACTGGAATTTCCCACAGAAAAGCACCCCTCTGCAGCAGTGAGTTGAGCTAAGTGTGACTACTGGTTGGGAGGCAGATAGGACTACTGGGGACTTCCTGGGATGTGGGACTCCCTGTCCAGCTGTCTGGTTCTCTCCTCAACCAGACTGAAAACTGTAACTGGCATAAGGACCACAGCATGAAGGAATTCTTAAATATTTAACTGAAACTTGGATCTGGTTCACAATGATGAATGGTATAGAATGAGAAATATGTTGTGAAAAGGGCTCCCAAGTCTGGAGATACTCAGGCAGGAAGAAGTGTGGGTTGACCAAAGTGATAGCAATATAGTTTTTTATACATTTTAATGCTGATTGAGGTGAGAGGCTTTTTAGATAAGTGTTTAGTTACTGTAGTAATGGGGACACTGAATACATTTAACAAAGAAACTAATATTTATCCCCAGATTAATATCTGTTTAATCTATCTAGAATGTCTATTGAATTCAAGTGGAAGTTCTGGCATGCTTGGAATATAGACTCAAACCCAGAGTTTGTAAAGTATTTAGGGATCTTCTTGGATGAAAGATGTTAATTTTGAACTGCAGGTAGATGAGGCTGAACTCTACATGTAAAACTTGATTGGATTTAATGAGAGTTTTACTTGAGTTAGCACAGCTGGATCTCACTTCAGATTTTTAGCAAAAGATAAAAGCACTATACTTCATAATACCAGGTCATTTAGGAAGTGTCTGAAAGTAAAAATTGTGATTCATGACTAGACTCTGGGGAGACCTATTTCTGACTCTGTCACTGTGCTGCTAGGTGGCTTTAGGCAATCACTTCACTTGGCATTGGCGATGTGTAGGGGGTGCACGCGGGTACATGTGCACCCCCTGAGATTGGCTGTGCACCCCCTGGAAGCACCAGCTGCGAAAGCAGAAGTGCCGGTGGAATTGCACTTCCAGTTCTGCTGGTTTCTCCACTGGTGGTTCTGGGCTTGGTGATTGGCTGCTGGGGGACCCCGCCCCCTCCCCAGTCGGCAATTGGCTGGGGAACCCTGGTCAGCGATCAGCTGCTGGGGGACACCCCTCCCCACCCCCCGTCGGCGATCTGGTGCCCCCCCCCAGACTTGGGAGGCACCAGTTGCTCACGTCACCTGTCCTACGCCTCAGTCCCCCCATCTGTAAAATGGGGGCATATTCCTGATGCCCTTCTCAAGGCACTTTGAGATCTTTTGACGAAAAGCCCTACTTGAGAGCTAGGCATTATTCTGAAAATGGATCTCTCTACTTTTCCAGAGAAATCAGTTATTGCTCAGCCGATATTTGTGTTTGAAAAGAAAAACCGACCTTTCAAGGTAAGAAGTTCAGCTTTTACCTTTGCATGGGCCATAAAGAAACCTGAAAATCCGGCAAGGCAGGCCTTGGTCCTGCAGCCCATACCTAGACAATGCTTCTAGGGAAACCAATGGGACTCTTAATCAAGTGAGCTACAGAGGGACTGGGCCCCAAATGGGAATGGAAAGTAATGGAGATCAGAACCAAAATTTTGGAAAAATATACTTGTTTGCTGTATGTTACGCCTGATGTATGAATTTGCAGAGATCCTCATCTCATTTATGCTTTTTCTCTTTTTCTTTCAGAGGCCTGCAGAAGACACAATTTGCGCAGCTGAAAGCGATAGTAATTGTCTCATTAAAACTGAATAAACTTGCTATAAAGCATGTAGTATGATACTGGGGCATTTTAATTGCATTCGTTGCATGCATAAATAGTTTTTAGAATGTTATAACATAAAAAGTCTATTACCAAGCATAGATACAGTGAGGCACTGAACCACCAGGTTTACCCTATTCTCTTTCTTCCTAGTGCCCCAAAATCCAAATTTCAAATGCCCCAGAGAGTAGGCAAGTGAACTAATGGCTGTTGCATGCCCTCACCTCTTTTTTTTTTTTAAGTACTTATAATAATGTGACCCCAGGCACTGAAGGACATTATGGACAGAGTCCTACTTCAGCCATCTGTTCACAAGTAGCTGAGGCCTGTGCCACCTGCTACTTAGTGATATAGGGCCTGATCCAAAGCCTACTGAAGTCACTGAAAGTAAAGTGGACTTTAATGGGCTTTAAATCATGGCCCCTTTCCATGAATGGATTCTGCCTTAATCCTTCTCTGCAAATCATTCTGGGTGCATTTACATGTGCACATTTATTGCATAGTAACCAAAATTACTGTGCAGTACAGATGCGCATCTACACGTGCACACCTGTACTACACAGTAAATATGGCAACTTACACCAGCTTGAGCGTAAAGTTGATACCTGCATCATGCAAGTGTCAAATTTATGCCCAATTTAGTTACTGCGCAGTAATGCACGTGTAGATGCCTTACAGCACAGTAACACTGTGTGTGGACTGATTTAGGACTAATAAGACCCACTAACCTCTATAACAGAGGTACAATAGTAGAACGTTTATGTAGTTCAGTCAGGACAGATTTCCTGGAATTGGTCACCCAGAGCAAATGAGGGCAGGTTTCATACATCTGTTAAAGTTAGTCCCAAGTCAGTCCACACACAGCATTAATGCACTTTAAAGCCTGCACATATAGACGCTGGCCTATTCCCAGTAAGTTACTGCACAATAAATTTAAGCCAGCGTAAATGCATGTATAGACATGCCCTCTGAGTATTACTATAGGTTTAATACTTTACTGCAATATTTTACTGAAATCTGTTGCAAAAGTTGAGTTTTATAGTGCACAATATGTTACTTTTCTCATAGATTCCATTAGTTATTCCAAGAAACGGGCAAGATCATCATCTTTTACTTTCCGAACATCTGACTCGCAGTCTGACCTAGGTACAGCATTTCCCTCGATTTATGGTTTAATGCTTGAAATTGTGTTGTCTAGCATGATAAGCAAGAAACACAGACTTTTTTCCTTTTGTTCGTAGTCACTTTTTATTTAGAATAATTCCAAGGCAGAAAAACATGTACACTTCAAAACTGACCAGCCAGTAATTCTCAAAAGAGGATTTAAACTTTTCTAAGTATAAATAAAACCTTTAATTAGCAGAGGGTCATGATCTTATGTATCTGAGCTATTACCATATGAAATAGTGGAATGTTTAGGTAGTTCAGTCAGGACAGATTTCCTGGAATTCTTCACCCAGAGCAAATGAAGGAAAGTTTTATGTACCTCTGTTAAAGAGGTTACTGGTTCACTGCTGTATAGTATTGTGAGACCCAGAGAATTAAGAAGCCATGATGACAATCCTCCTCCACCGCCTTATCAAGTCACCTGGAAACGCTTTCAGGGGAGCTGGAGTTATTTCCCCAATATAGAGGGAAAACCTATACAAATCATCGTCAGCTACTTTGTACTAAGCATATGCAGCAGAAATAATTTCTACTTTAAACCATGTAGTGACTGTAACAAGGGGAGTAGATGCTCTTCCCAAAATTCAGGCCTTAATGTTAGTGACTCATATAGCAGCCTTTTATTCATTTCATGCAGCCTTTATAATCATTTCATACAGCCTTTATAATATCTTGTATTTGTGCGGGCCGGAAGTGGTCCGAGGCTTTCGGGGGCGCGCGGCGGTCTGTGGCCAGCAGCCCTGGCACGTGGGTCGGGGAATTCGGCACGGCGTACAAGAATTAGGCACTGACGCGTAGAGGTTGATTAAAGATTATTTTACTTACACCGTAGATGGTCGCGGTGCAGGCAGGAAAAACTTCGCTTAAGTTGCAGTTACAAACGAAAAGAAAACTCGCACGAACAAGACCTGTAGAAAACTCGAGCCTCTTAAACCCGGACAAAGCTCTGGATACCACGATGAGAGTCCAAAAGGTGACTCCACAAGCGTGCAGGGAAGGGTACGTCGAGGGATCAGGCAGCGACAGGGAGAGGCTAGAGGTTGATCAGGCCCCTATATCCTTCTTAAGGCACACACTGGGTTTGTTAAGCTCCACAGCGCGCTTAGAGTTCTTCACAAGATGTGAAGTCCTCCTTCTCCTTCTCCACGAGATGGTTGTGGAGTCCTCCTCCTCCAACTTGGGTGGAAACTGCTCAAG